GACGAGGTCAACCCACCTCTTAAACTAGTAGGTTTGCTGATCATTGTAATTATGTGCTTAAAAGAAAGATAAGAGAGGCTATTGAAATTAATAGCTTAGAAAATGCGTTGAATGTGAGGAACGGTGGTAGAAAATTGAGTATGAACTACTTATGCTTGATTGATATATTGAAGGAGAGAGAGGGTGTTTAGCTACTAGGGTGATGGTTATAATTTCACTCACACTCGTCAAGCATGTTAGATTAAGTCATCAACCAAACCAGACGTGCCAGATTACGCAGCACTGGTCATGCCTTCCCTTGGGAGGTTAAACGTCGATGACTCTAGATTGAGAGTTTATGGCAAGTGGTTTCGTAACTTGATTTCATGCTTACAAGCTCAAATCACATCATCACAACAATACTTACTTACGGACTTATTTAGTCTCGTTTAGGGCTCTCTCTTGAGTCATTAGGCTTTGATAATTCGAGCCTGACATTAGCCATTTGATAACTCTGATTTAGGACCGGTATTGCATATGGACGTTAAAACGCACACACATACACACACGCCTACACTCGAGCAAAGGTAGCAGGACCAGTATGAAAAAGAATAAGCCAAACCACTCTATATGTATTTAGGCTTTTTATTTTTTTGATTAATTGAGTCTGTATAAGAGACTGATAGAGGCGGATAATCTTCTTGCCTCAGTGTTAATGTGAGACTTTTATATGAATGAGATCCAACTCTGATGATGTCCATCATATGATGGACGAAAGCTCCGCCCGTTTTCACCAGAAACGAGGGAGGAAGTCGTGTGGACCGCATCAACCTTAACGTCGTATAAAAGCCAAATGGCTGCGGAACAATGGGATTCATCCGTCCTCTTCTGGTGAGATTGACCTACGAATCTCTTATTTATGCGTTCATACGAAATAAAAGTCCCTCCAGCAATGTATGCCAGTTGACTTAACATTTTATCTCCGCAGAGGCGACGATTAAAATTGTTATTACTACTATGCATATCTAATATCTGGTTTTCTTATAATAATCAGCCTTATAGGTAACAAAAATTTATATCTTTAGTAATCTTAATTACTAGCGCCCCCAAAAGAATAATAATGTAGTGTTATATAATATTATGCAATCTCATGTAATACTATAGCATTGTTCACTGGATTTTTTAAGATCTAGTTTATTTTACGATCTACATTCATGAACCATTAATGTGATCATGCTTTCACCTTAATAAATCTTTAAGAATAAAAAGCAATAGTTAAGTGACACGTTATTTTTAAGTAACCAATTTCAGTAAAGGCTATTTAACATACTGAAATTTTATCATAGGGTTACTCCACAGAAGTTGGTCCCGGAGGCTCCAGGCTCTCAGGAGGGCAGAAGCAGAGGGTCGCAATCGCACGGGCACTTGTGCGGAAGCCACGTGTACTTATTCTAGATGAAGCGACATCTGCGCTCGACAATGAAAGCGAGCGCATCGTACAAGCCGCTCTTGACGCCACCTGCGCTACCGGAGAGCGCACAACTCTGGTTGTCGCTCACCGTCTTACAACTGTTGAGAAATCAGATCAGATTATCGTGCTGGAAAATGGTCGGCGCATCGAATACGGCACGTCTGAAGAACTTATGGATGCGAAAGGGGCTTATTTCTCATTGCATCACGCAGAAGTGTTGCATGCTGAGAAGCACTGAGACCCCAAATATTAACTGTATTTCGTAGTAATTTTATAGTATATAATTTCTTTTTTACCCATGACCAGATAC